GGTTGAACCCCCTAAATTACAGGAAATAAGACATCATAACATGCTGACTTGGCCTCGGAATGCCGGAAATCCCATTTCTGAGGACCTCAATTTTAAAAATTTTTTGGGGAGGATGCCCCCTGACCCCACTACAGGCTACCGCCTTGGCTGGTCTGTATCTCAAACCCTCATGTCTGAAATCCTGTATCTGCCCCAGATTGCAATTAAGATTATCAACATTGAGGATTGTTGCTCTTCTCAGTTACATTTACACAGTTGAACCCCTATTAAGCAGCCACCCTTGGGGAAATGGGATACCCTTCTTCAGACTATAATGGCTTGTAAACCATACCCTTTGGTGCCACACATACCTATATACACGTATAATGGTGGATCCAGACCTTGAGTTAAGCGGGGGGTTGCTTGTCCTGCCAGCTTATCTTCCTTCTGCGACTTTTTCTTTTAACCAAATTAAGGGGGGCCCTCCCCTAGACCTGCCACTGATGTAGCTCGTATATGGGAAGGTCTATGCTCATCTCCAACCCCCAACTAGCCTACGTGTAGCCGTACCCACCCCCCCAGGAAAAACGGGGGTGGGTACGGCTACACGTAGGCTAACCCCCAACCTTCCCCCACCCTCTCCAGGGTGAGTGATGTTGTCATGTTTAATGAGTTACAAAGAAAAGATACCTCGCGAAAGGTTATGATCACTTCACTCTTTTTTTGCCTCACAGTAGAGTGCTGACTCGAAGGTGATTCCTCAACCTAATGCGAGCCACAAACTCTTCACACAAGATCCTATGATCAACAATTCCTGCGAAGAAAGTGATACCAGCAACAAAGAACGGAATTCTTTAATATTCTTCACCTTTCTACATGGTTCGCACAGTTTTGTTGGTAAACCATTACCAAACTAAATTTCTTACCCGGCTCTTTGCTGCTTTTCTCGCCTAAAATGTCAACCAGGGTTTCTGAAAAAAACGATCTGTTGCAACAGCGACAAGTGCTGAGTTGTGTGTTAAAGGAGAATTGGGGGAATTTTCTCCCAAATCCTCCATGTCCTCCATCTCTAACACTGCTGGTCACAGCTGTTTCATATTTGCGCGCCAGCAATCCACGGGAACATTCTGACTTCCATTCAAGATTTCTTTGTTTTCAAACAGCCAATCAAAAACATTCGAATTTAATTCGAAAATCCTATGTCCCCAGAGTCCTTCGATTCTCGTGCCAAGGCCTTGCCGGCTAAGAGGAGCGAAAATGGCTATGTGGACGAAAATGTGCTGGTTCAGCAAAGTAAGCATGCCAGGGGAACTGAGTACGAGTTCGCGACATTATATTGTGGTCTTACACCACGTATTTGTTTTTCGGCTGCCATCTGAGGAAGGCGGAAGTGCAAAAAGATGGCGGAAAAAAGTAACTTAGAAGGAAGAAGAGAGAAGCTTGCTACCTACTTACCTTTCGATGCCTCAGAAACTCCTAAGTGGCGTACGAAAGAAGAAGTGCCAATTTCAGAAATGATTAGAAAAATAATGGATTATCGCAAGAAATGGGAAGAAGCCAAGAGTGCTAATGTGTACGATGAAAAGTTGGTTGAAAAAGTCCGGAGTCAGTTCCTTGTTGAGTTTATATTCCACGTTAATATGGAAGAAGAGAAAGGTTTTGGCACTTTTGAAGAGACAGAGGAATTTCTAAACAGTTTTCACGCGCGAGGAGGTAATTTGCAACGCCCCCTCTCTATCACTGAGCAAGAAACTATAAACTTAAGAAAAGCGTATGAACACTTGCTAGGAAAAATGGAGAGGGAAGAAGAAGAAAGCGATTACGGACTTATAGAGAGTAGCCTGCTGGAGGAGACGCATCGTATACTCATGGAAGACACTGATCTTCCACAGGGCAAAACGAAGCCTGGTAAATTTAGCGTGGAAAGGCGTTACGTCGAATTTAACGGGGAACTTTACAAGTACCCACACTACCCCAAACCTGGAGACATGGAAACGGCTGTCTACAAATTACTTGACAAGTATAATGACATGTTCGACCTTTGTACCAAAGGTGGGCTAAAGGAGTTTGAAGACTTCTACTATCTATTTAAAACCTGTGCTTGGTTGCTGTTTGAACTTCTTGATCTTCACCCATTTGGAAATGGAAATGGGAGACTTTGTCGAATCCTTTGCAGCTATTTGCTTTCAAAGTTTACTCCATTTCCAACACCAGTTTACAATGTCTGGACTGAGTCCCGTAAAAACGATTATAGGCAAGCACTGGTTGATACCAGAAAGAGTGAAGGTAGACAGCCAACTACCCTGACAACAATGATCATAGAGTGTAGTTACTACGGTTGGGGAAAGTTTTTTGAAGCGTTGGAAGAAAACAAAGGTTCGTGCTAATCCATTATATGGTTATTTTTACTTCACAGCCCTAAAACCCCATAAGTTTTCAAAACAAGAAGACAAGTATGCTGCATGAGCAGTGGATCAATATCTTACACTTCTTAGCAAGAGAGAAACCTGTGCACTAAGCTACAAGCAACCACATTTCTTATCGTACATGTACAAACTGTCGTGTCATCTGAGTACATGTAGTGTATGTCATGCTTTGTCATGGAAAATTGCAAAATAATTATAAGCCCATTTTTGCTTTTGGGGTGGCATACTTGAATTCTGGCCTTTGCACTTTTAACTCTGTCTTTCACCCAATGCTGCAGAGAGAGGGCAAATTAACTGAATGAATTGGAGTGGTAGATAATGGAATATTACCTGATACTGAAGTAAAGCAGTTTCACCAAGAAGAGGGTCCAACATAGGTTTGGTGGGATGCGGGGTGAGAGTAAAAATGAATGTGGGATGTTAGAAATTTTAATGGTGGGATGCAGAATAAATATATTTTGCCAGGAATGGATTTGCTCATTTTGACAGACAGGATGTGCAATAGTTACAAACTAGATGGTGGGATGCGGGATGGAAACAGAAAATCATGCGTTACAGATGTTACAAGGAGAACTGCCACGCTAAACAAGCAGGATCGAGATAAAAATTCTTATTGAGGTGGGATGGCAGGCCTAGGATTAAGCCAAAAATAGGACATACGGGATGCAGACGCAGGATTGGAAAAACGTATTGTAACGTGCGCGGGCGACAACAACTTCCAGTCAAGGAGTCCAACAGCCAACGGTTTAATTACTTGACTCTCAACGTTTACCTTACTTGTACATGGCAAGTCTACTAACACACACGCTACTACATTACGTGAGTCTCCCCATAAGAGGTACCAAGATCCTGTTTTGTGGGTGTGGCTTGAATTCTTTTTCACCCCTAAGTTGCACCAATTCTGAGACAATAAAAAATCAGTTGATTTTCAAATATCTCCTGTCATTTTTTTTTTCAGCTCATTATACCCTAAAAGACACCCCAAAAGCTCCTGCTGTGGACCTGTTGAGGCTTATTACACCCTAAGAGGTACCAAATCCACTTTTTTAACCCCTAAAAGGTACGACGACTACCCCCGTCCTTTTCATAGGGGAGTCCCCTTTGGGGGGTTCTGCATTCTCAGGGGTTTCATTAAGGGCTGGGCACCAGGCAAATTGACCGGCTATGAGGACAATTTTGCCCTGCTGGTTTGACCATCTAGCAGAACAATTTTCTTACAAAGAAGTTCAGTTCTAATAGTTTTGCCCACCTATTAAAACCAGTTACCCTCCTGCAGAAAACGTTAATGCAACGCCTGCATTCTGACTGCGCACAAATTGGAGTGAGAGCGGAAAAAAAAAAAAAAAAAAAAAAAANAACATGGCTCCTCGCCGGGTGTATCTAGTATAACGCACTCTGAGTACAGAGTCAATTCACACAATTGATTAACTATGGGTCGGGAATACGTTTACATGGGAGCACTGGTACATCATAGATTGTTGGTTCTGTAGTACTGTTAAGCTACGTTCCCATGTTGTGCCATTATTCTTGGCTAATTTTAAACTAGTATTTTTGGCCGGATTATTACTGATTTAGTCGTGTAATGAACGACAAACTTCATCCGAGTAAGTAAGTTGTTTTTTTTTTCAGCGGTTAATAAATGATCATCCAAAGCGTTTAAAAGCCAATTCGTTAGAAAATAACTTCTTTGACTCATTTGTAGTTGCAGGCATAGTTTGGCTCTCTCAACTGTCGCATTATTCACTTTCTCTAAAACGACTCGCGAGAAATCAAAATAACTTGAACGTATTTGTCATAAACAGTGTTTTAAAGAGTCAAAGAGTAGTCCACCTTGACTCTCTTGTTTCGTAATCTTAAAAACACTGTTGCGAATTTCTTTAAAAAATTTAAAACCCTAACCGAACTCGAAAACAAAAATATTCACATATTGCTTCGCAAAATCTATTCGGTTCGATTCAAAGAAACTCTTAAATGAAGTGGAAAGCTAAGGAGGTGGGAATCATTCAATGCGTGCATTGTTTTACAATGGAACCTTCATTAATGGCCAACTGCCCTAAGAACGGTCCTTTACGTACTTGGCGTTTGCTCAGCGCCAAAGCCAGGTATCATTGATATAACGATAGGGTGCCACTTACATTGCAAGTAAATTGACCGTCCTTAAAACCGCCGACTGGCTGTGCCCAAGGCGGTCGTAGTGTAAAATGTTTCACCTGCATGTTAGCTCCAAAATACGGAAATAGAACTAACGTTTGGTTATGTCAGATGTCAAGTCTTGCAATATTTCAATTGTATCGTATCCGATGCGTGAATATTTAACAATTATTCGTCAAAGGCAAAGTGAACGTTGGTGAATATTCACCGAGACGAAACCGAGAGGTGAATATTCACCAATGTTCACTGAGCCTGAAGCGAATAATTGTTTTAGTATAATTTTCAGAGGTGAATATTAAGGACTATCAAAAAAACGGACCAAAACATAAAAACAGTCGCAATTGTTCGTGTGCATACACGTATGCAGCCGTAGTTTTAATAAGCTTACATGTACATCGATTGCCAATCAAATTACTCATCGAGTTCGGCAGTAAATTAACAACCGAGCGAAACACTACGAAAAAATAAATTCATCCGGTACCTTTGTTTTATCGTTGTTGACTTCATTCACAGTCGTCAACATCGTCTAAAAATGAGTAGCTTTAGTTTGAAGAAAAATAAATTTCGGTCAATCGATCTGACCTACTGGCGTCGACGCAACCACTGCATTAACTATTCTTTAGAGCCTTGAATACGAGTTCTTGAAAAGATTTTTGGTCCAAGGGCGACAGCAGTCATTTTTAAAATTCTCCATGGTTTCAAATATCCTGTARTTGGAGTGATGTCTTTCGAATAAATGAAAACTTCATTCAGCAACTGTCCGCCATGTTTACTTGCCGAGATGGCAAAGATGGCGAGCTTAGTAACCAAGCTCTAGCGTCATATGATGAGCTTTTCGACCGATCAGAATGTCCAATTCTTATATTCACCTCTGGAAATTATGCTTACATCTGATTTATTCGCCTCTCACCGGCACCGGAAGCTAACAAGGTCGTGTGTTTTTCAAGTAATGTATCAAAGACGACAGACCGTGTTTGACTACATTTCCAAACATCGAGAAGAGAGTTGAAAATACGACGCCGCAGCGGAGTATTTTTGACGAAAGTTCGAGGTGTTTGGAAATGCGGTCAAATACTGTCTTGAGTGTTTGATATATCTTCTCAATCAAAACTAAAACCTAAGGACAGAGAAATAAAATCGTAAAAATCAATGCAAATTAAGATTAGATATCCAAACACCGTCACGGTCATGATTTCTTTTGTTCAAACTTGATGAATTATTAATGAATTTGAGAACTGAAAGTAAAGGTCAAATATTTTAGGCTTTAAAATTCGAATTTTGTCTCATGCCATGTATACTTTAAATAAACCACTGTGGAATTGGATGGCACATGAGGGTTGAATATTGAATTTTTCCCTACTAAATTTGGCACCATACTAGCTCGCGAAACTACATGGATCTACACCTAAACTTCTTTGTAGAGGAAACTTACCAAAAAAAGTGAAACCGTCCATGTTTCACAGTGCTCTCACATTAAATTTTATAATATATCTAGATCAACATTTCGTCTCTGGGTCAGATGAACAGACTGTTAAATAAAGTTAGCCATTTCAATCGATCTTACCTTCAGGCGACAACAGGCCTGAAACTTTGAACTACATTAGTTGACTACAAATTTAACGTTCTAGGAGAGAAATAATAAAAAGAAATAGGCCAGAGTCATTATTGTATTTCCAAGAAATGTTTATGAAATGCTTCCCTGTGGCTGGAACAACCCTACCTTGAGGGCGGGAGGAGATTAAAAAGAAGAGTTTGGCAGATCTTCGTCAGTTGCCACTGGCTGAAAGTATCGCTGGCATAAATTATAAGTTATGATGAAACAGACGCACGGCCATGGCAAGTAATGTTATTGTAAAATGATCGGGCGAGGTCAAAATTCGTTCATTTTACAGCGATAAATATTATTCTAGCTTTTTTTATTTTTAATTTGACTGTTTTAATCTCTTATCATTAAGAAATATGGGGTGTGTCTCATGTTAAAAGGCATGCAACTTTATTGTGTAATACCAGTTAGAATGACATCACGGGGATTGAATAATGAATGATCGCTTTCTCATATATACAATAGATATACAGTTCTTTTCATTCGAGCTTATCGCTAGATTAGAACGAAATTCAGGACCACTGAGAAAGCGGTTGAAAAAATGATTCCATTCCAGTTTTGTGCTTTCTTGATATACACTTCTCAACTTTATGCAGGTAAGATGAGACTAATTTTAATGCATATTGTAACGCGCGCGGGCGACAACAACTTCCAGTCAAGGAGTCCAACAGCCAACGGTTTAATTACTCGACTCTCAACGTTTAGCTTACTTGTACATGGCAAGTCTACTAACACACACAGGCCACTCCATAACGTGAGTCCCTTATATACGCTGTATTACGAGTACATTGCGCATCCCGTACTCGCCATATAACCGTCTCTTAGTCTTAGAACTCTTGCGAGTATACATTCAAATACAACCGTTATACATCTTAGCACGAGCATCATAGCTCGTGCAATCACTATATCAGTTTCATTACAATATAAATGTTTTTGACGACCTACTAACACTAAATAGTATTACTAATTAAACTTAAAATGCTTCTTGGTCCTCGGCTGCGGTTGAATCGATAAACTATTAAAATCAACTATTTTTTAATTTTTTAATCTTGTTTTGTATTAGAGAGTCAGCAATTGATTGAAATTATTGGTGTATTAGTCCGATGCTTTCAGCACCGCACAGTCCCCCTAGCTCGCGTGATATGATCTGTTCACTTTTTTCTTAAAGGCATATTTGATATAGGGTCATGTGTTTTGTTGTTAAATATTCTACAAAACATGTCAACTGATCAAATTTTGCTTGACATATAAAAGATGAATCCCTGGTTACATCTAAAATGAAGGCAAAAATGGATCTGGAACATGAAAAGCTATTTCTCCTATGAGTCTCGACCATGAATACTATTCCGGTGAGGTTCTAGCTCTGTCTATAATGCCCTGCAATATTCTATGGTAAATCCGTTTTTACCAGTCCTAACCAATTTCTGTTTCGCGTAATCTCAGTAAATCTTTTACTGTGTTGGTAATGAGGGGCAAGATTAAATTGCTATTTATTATTTTTATTGAATTAGTTTCGCCCAATGATCATAAAAAATGGTATTCTACGTTTATTGAAGGCGTCTTCGCATACGACGAATTTCATAAAGCATGCGTGATGACCCACAATAAACTGAGAAAGCTTCACGGTGCTCAGGCTTTGGCGTATTCAGAAGAGTTGGGCGTAGAGGCTCAAAAGTGGTGCGAGGAACTCGCAATAAAAGACGAGCTTTCACACGACAACAGGACCATGGACACAAAAGGCGAGGGAGAAAATCTTGCAGCTACACCTGTGACTGGTGCCAAAAGTGAAGGTGCTACTCCTGATCTCTGCACCTTGGCTGTTCAAAAGTGGTACGCGGAAGAGCAGAATTATAACTATCAGACAGGACTGCCTAAAGCTCCTGGAATGCCAATCAAACACTTTGCTCAGGTAAACCAGGAAAAGGATTTTATGGCAAATATTCTTGTTTCATACGCATACTTTCAAAGTCTGGTTTTAAATGTTGCGCTTATTCATGTTTTGAGTTTGCTCATCAGGTACTAATCTCCTTCTCCTTCGTTATCTGTGTCTTTACGCAAGGCTTCTCTCTTCTTAGTGGGAACAAGCTTTAGTTACTAAAGGAGCTTATATCGAAGCGCTCGTATGACTGGTAATGACTAGACCAAAACTGAATGTGTCTCTTTAGAGTTAAAAGTTGTTGAGTTCGGAAGACAGGGGAACTAAAATCGGGTGGGGCGGGAAGCGGGGGGACTGTAGCCAGAATCACGCTCTCTCTTCGTTGTCATTCGCCCGATCCGCCAACTAATCAATTGATTAGTCATTCGATCAATCGATAATAAAACCTTTAGTCTCGTCACCAGACTTGACTTGACTTACTCCTTTTCGTTCCCTCAGAAACATAGGACCTTGACTACGAGCCTTCATCTTTCCCGATCTTGAGCTATCTTCTTTGCCTCCTCCCAGGTCATGCTGATGGTCTTTATCTCTGCTTGCAGAGTTCTTTTTCATGTCAGGGCTGGTGTTCCTCTTTTCCGTTTCCCCTGAGGGTTCCAATCCAAGATTGGCGGGTGATGCTGGTCTTCTCTATGCGTAGGTTATGCCCGATTGTCACCAGACTTAGGGGCTTAAAACTATGCAAGCAGGACCTGACAACACAGCGCTGGAGGCCGGTTCTAATTTTGAATTCGCTAAAAAGTCAATTAGAGCAGACTCAGGATCTTTGTTATTTTTGCAAATGATTATAAGATTAAGAACACTTCAAGTGGCTCTTTCTCCACCGGAGGCAGAATCGAGAAATAACATTAGCTTAGTAAAACTGACTTTCTAGTAAATTACTTTTAACAACCAATGTTGTAAAAATTACTATCGTGCTCCTCAATTGACGTCCCTTCTCATAAAAGGTTGTCTGGAACAATACATTTCAAATTGGAGTGGGGACTGCTCGTTCCACCGTTCATGGTGACATCATCTGTGTTCGCTACAGTCCTCGTGGAGCTGAAGGCGGCCCGGACGAGTTTATGAACAATGTTTTTCCTAAAGGTAGGTTAAAAAGATCGTAGTTCGTCAAACTGAAACATCGCGGGAGCTTGAGCGCCTTCGAGAGACAGAGTCAATATATCAGTCTGAAAGTCTTACCTAAGATGTCTTGTTCCCTAGATAGAAACAGATTAGCTGCTAAGTACACACTGATTCTTAAAATTAGTGTGTAGTACTGTAGGAGTTAAAATAACTCCTACAGTAGGGTTAAATTTACACCCTAAGGTGGAGTTATTTTTGGAGGAGTTAGAATAACTTCAAAAGGGAGTTATTTTTACTCGTCGTGGAGTTAATCTAACTCCGCATAGTGGAGTTATTTTTTGTGCAGTCATTTTCACTCTAAATGAGAGTTAAATATAACTCCCACTGGGAGTTAAATTTTAGGAAGAAGTTATTTCAACTCTCTATAGGGAGTTAATATAACTCGCTTTTGGAGTTATCTTGTAGGGGTTATTTCAACTCTGACTGAAGAGTTAGAATAACTCTAATTTGGGGGTTAGTTTAACTCGTTTTCGGGTGTTATCTTGTGGGGATTATTTTAACTCTGGTAGGAGAGTTAAAGTAACTTTTTACTGAGGGATTACTTTAACTCGCGTTTAGCTGCGTTTAGAGTAGTTTTGTAGGGGTTATTTCACTATTGTTGAAGAGTTAAAATAACTTTTTTACTGGGGATTAACTTTGATTGAAGAGTTCTGATAACCCACCTCTGCATGTTATACAATGGCTACACAAATTAGTAGCACAAGACAGAATTAAGTTATCACTATGGGAAAAAAATGTCCTTAAAACTGTTTTATAGAGTAAAAGCTACCATTAGCCCAGTGAAAGTTGCACAATGCAAGCTACGCTCACTTAAGTCTCGATTTCTAAACTACGTAAGAGAGAGAGAGAGAGAGAGAGAGAGAGAGAGAGAGAGAGAGAGAGAGAGCAAGCGAAGAAAAGAAAATATAATCAGAATTTTTTACTTTTTCTCTGTATGAGCNGAGAGAGAGAGAGAGAGAGAGAGAGAGAGAGAGAGAGAGAGAGAGAGAGAGAGAGCAAGCGAAGAAAAGAAAATATAATCAGAATTTTTTACTTTTTCTCTGTATGAGCTATGAGGGTTTTTTCTCATGCCACCGAGCGTTGCCAATCTTGCTCAATCTGTCATTTCAATTTCACATTAAAATTTATTTGTGATCTCAATTATGGAAATATACTGTGGTATGGGAGATTATCGCCGAATTGAAGGAAACAGTAAGTGTTACACCAGGGAAATTGTAAACTTGACTCATAGTTAGACTGGTTTTAATTAAATTCGCTCAAATTGGAACGCTGTTCGAGATAGACGATGGAAACATAATAAAGAATTTTTGATTATGTTTTGTCCGACAAGGGCTCTTTTTTCATTTAATGTCATTGCTTTGCTAATTTTGTCATTTTTACTATTGTTATGTCTAAGTTGCATCTGCTAGTTGCATGGAGTGCAACTGGCTATAACTTTGCTCAAAATTCTGTTTCTTTTTCAGTCTCCATGTCAAGTAACTCCTCAGTAAAAGGTAAATCAGAGCGAGATGAATGTTTCCTCAGCGCATTTTCTGGTTACCGCAATAATGCGACTTCACCCTCGGGACATTTATTATCATTCGAGAGTTGGAGGGAGAGAGGGAACTAATTAGGGACGGGGAATTTACCTCTTTTGGTAGTTAACACTCAAAAGTTTAATACGGAAGAAGAATCTTGCGCTTGAAGGAATTCTGCCCCCCTCATGAAAATGACATTCGAGACAGTTGTTTTGTAACGGTTTGATGTGAACTGTTCAGAAGATGAACTACGGACAAATGATCTTCATATACTCTGATGGCGCGGAAATTGATCCTTTAAAGGAATAGGTAGCTCACTAATAGGTGGCGCTTAATTATGTAGGAGACACAAGTGGCAATAGGGACGCTTTTTGACAGAAACTCGGTGTCTCTGAGAAAAAAAAAGAATCACTTAAATTTGCGAGTTAACTTACTCAAGTTTAAGCTGCATGTAAAACCAAGGTAACGAATGACCTGAAAAATCTGTTTTAGACCCTCTGACCCTTCTCCCAAAGGCTTTCAGTTCACGGATCCGCAAACAATTTTAGAAGAAGAAGTGAAAGTACTCCAACTTGAGCGGCCATTTGACCTGTCCAAATCGGTGTCAAACTGGACGAATTTGAACTAAAATAAAGGAAGTTTTCGCTCTACTTGAATATCTTAGTAAAATTGTGATTAGAGCACTACACAAAGAGCACGGGCCCATTTTTTTGTGTCGTTCGTGATACGACCTTTGAAGGCCTTCAAACACAGTGCGTAATCGTAATTCCATAAATTGAATTTTGACTCATTAATCGAAAGGCTTTGGTATTTCAAGCAAACGGAAGATGGGATCTTTTCTACAAAAAAACTGAGCTATTTAAAAACAAGCGAAGACCGTTTGTATAGATTTTGCTTATTTTTAAAAGGAAAGCAATTTTCTTTGGTAGTGACGAAGGCTTTCTTGACCTAAGAGAGATCATATGAACCATTGTCCATTCCATTGATATTGTTTTAACATACATATGTTCATGCAAACTTTGTTTCAGATTTGAATATCCCAGGATACATTTCTAGCTCTAATGATCCTCAGGGTCAAGCAGGCGGAAGTTTTAAGGGAAGCATGAGCTGCGGTGTTGGCAAGAAGTCCCGTATTGTTGGTGGGCAAGAAGCGAAGCCAGCAGAGTTTCCTTGGCAGGTGGCCTTCAGATGGGAAAGCTACTACGGCTATACCAACCTCTTCTGCGGTGGATCTCTCATCGATAAAAAGTGGGTGGTGTCAGCTGCTCATTGCTTCCAAAGAATGAAACGTCCACCATTTGAACTTAAGGTTGTTCTTGGAGAATTCGACGTCAATAACGATGATGGCAATGAGGTCATAATTGGTGCGAAACAGGTAGAGAAGTCCGAATGGAATCCAAACTATTTGGTCTCGATAATTTACCGTTGCTGACCGCCACTCGGTTAACTCAATTGACAAAGCAAAAACAAGTTTTGTTTACTATTTAAGCAATAGAGCATTTTTTCCGTGTTTACATAGCCTCATCTAAGCACGAGGAGGGTTGGGAGAATTTGAGACAGTTATGCAAAACCGAGACGTAGTCTGCCAGCCCCCCGAGTGTTTATATGAGGCTGTGTAAACACGGAAAAAAAGCTCTATTACTTTTACAAAATATTTCTCAAAAATACGCGCGAATCTAAAAGGTCACAGTCGTGTTTACATAATCCCATCTTAACACACCTGTCGACCAATGAAAGCGCGCATAGTATCTCAGTTATTTTATATAAAGCGCTCGATGTCTAGTAGACGCAAGTAGTTCAATGACGTCCCCGTTTCAAATCTGGAAATATTTCAATCCTTAATTCTGGCACTAATCACCTTCAGTTGAGGGTTTTCTCCATAATATAACTCGATAATTGTAAGCACATTTATACTCAGGTGTAACATTATAGTGCTATACTGAAAAGACTGTTGTTGATCGATTGATTGTTGCAGGTGATCAACCATCCTCGTTATAACGACCATACAAAAGACTACGACATATCTCTCGTGGAACTGAAGTCCGAAGCATCTTTCAGTGATTACGTGAAACCAGTATGTCTACCTACGTCAAGCTCCAATTTTCCACCTGGAAAAATGTGCACTGTCACCGGGTTTGGGTTGCTCAGAGAGGGTGGACAACAGGCCACGAAACTGATGAAAGCAGATGTTCCCATAATCGACAACAATAAGTGTTCAGTGAACTATGGTAAGATTTCAGAACTCAAGTTATGTGCTGGATATGATCAAGGAAAAATCGATGCTTGTCAGGGGGATAGCGGAGGACCTTTGGTGTGCTCGGAGAATGGTAAGGCGTACCTCGCGGGGGTGGTAAGCTACGGTATTGGATGCGCTCGACCCAGATATCCGGGGGTGTACGCCAACGTGAAGTCTTTGATGAACTGGATTGAAACGACAAAGGGTAGCTAAATGGCAATAAAGTTAAGAAGTTATAACCCTCAGCAGAAATATTGTTACAAAGCATAACGCCAATAAAGTCTGAACTAGTAATCAGAAAAAATGCCAGTTCTGTACAGTATTGGGCTGAACCCAGACAATAAAAATGGCTCCCAAAAACCAACGATGCTTTTAACCAGTGATATTTTAAAGAGAAGGGAGTGTGAATTGAACAACAGATACAGTATAAAATAAAGTCTTAGGACAACCTAGTTTATTTCTCACATCTCAACTTAATTTTGGTTGATTTGGATTTTCCGAGAATGCTGAACGATGTTCTACTTAACTACAAAGGAAAGGTTCATTGTTTATTTGTTGTTGTTTGAGGGGAAGGCTCGTTGATAGACGGAATTTACTGCGAGATTTGTGATGGGAAGAGATGAAAGGTAAAGTGAATACTGGTAGAAAAGCATCTCTTTGCTTGGCCTTGCAAACCTACATGAGTAGTGCAAAGACGGGATGGCTTTTGCGGCAGTGCTTCTGGTCAGCTGTAGCCTATAGAGCGTTTTCACATGACGTCATGGCAGCCATATTCGTGTTCCAAAACAATGAAACGGCGGGCATTTTGGTGTACCAAATCAGTCCTGAGGGAGTTGAACTCTTTTCTTATGCAAACACTTCCATTTGTTCCAATAAATTTGCATGTGTGCTGGCCACGTGACTGAAAATGCTCTACACAAAACAAAGTGTAAGTTTTAATTGGCTGGTGATAAAAGACTACGTCGATTTGGTCAACTAAGGGCATGAGAACTTCCAATATTCAGTAGAAAACCACATCACAAGTAAGGTAATTTTTTAAGGTGCGTATTGTTGCGAAAAGTTTCCGAAAACAATCGCTGTGTTCAGAAAAGAAAATGAACGTTTATACACGACTAACAGTTTATTGGATGTTGAAGAATGTGAATTGAGAGGAAACACTTTCTGAAGAGTTCTTTTACTCTAATATGTAAATGTATTTGCCGAGTAATTCTTTAATTGGCGAAAATATGGGAAAAACGGCAAAGGTTCTCTGCAAAGAACTATACGAGCCAGTTATCATAATATCATATAAGGTTTTTTTTAAGTAGACTTCTATTAGCATACTGTTTGCAAATACTGGAATCTGATTGATTGAGATACCATTCACTTAAGCCATTAGTGTGTAGTGCCTGAAGGTCGTCCACATAATGGCACCTTCTTCTCGTTTCTCCAGAGTTTCAGAGGAAGAATTTATGGAGGTATCATTTCAATCAAATCAAATTTCCGAGAAGACTAAAAAGAGCCGCACTTGTAGGCTGCTGCTAGTTTTTAAAAGACAATTCGGTCCGCTCGCTATTTTACTAAAACGTACAGTTGGTCGAGAAACAATTGGAAATCATTCAGTGGAGGCAATATATTAATTAGAATTTCATGAGAACAATCAAAGTATTCGCTTTCGATTTCTACGAGCTAGTCTTTAGTCGTAAATCATCTTCTACATTTAATTCAAATCTCTTT